GACGAAGAAGGGGGCTGAAGAGCGGAGGATCGATCCGCTATAAATGATGCAGAAAGGTCGGTACCCCTGAGACAGAGAGCGCAATCTAAACTAGATGTGGTTGCATATCGTATTCCGACGTAATGGCTCCTCTAACGTTTATCGCCGATACGCTTTAATCCATCGCGTTACATCATTGTTGGTTTCTCATTGATTTGTCAGAAAGAGACCGAGAAAGAGAGAGAGAGAGAGAGAGAGAGAGAAAGAGAGTAATAGAAAAAAACTATATATTTCTCGTCCCAATGCTCGGTCTTAATTACAACACGAGTTGCAATTAGCGAATCTGTCGTGTCGTTGGTAACGAAATCGCTTCTCCCTCATCCCTTTTCGCCTCTTCCTCTCTTTTCCGCTCGAGAATCTTGAAAAACCGCTCACGTTCGCGAGAGATTGCGGAGATATTTATATGCGGGAGTGTGTACGCTTTCCCGTACAATTTTCCGTATCCGTAAATATAGTATATACATACATAGATACTTGATGCCGTGAACGAGAAGTTTTCGACGCCGTATACGTATTCGCGGACGTTTTAATATTATACCTCTATTTGGAGAACGCTCGAAATAACACTCGCGTTATAGTCCCGGACTCCCCCCGGACGCTGCACGACGGGAGCCCCATTTGATGCGCGAGTTTTCTGGGGCTAAAATTTGCTTTGTGCCGTGGCGCAGCGCGGCAGGCCGAGGTGTTTCCGTGGGAAATACGCGGCCCGTGTTATCCGGACAAATTGCAATTTCCAGAGTTGCCTTCCGCGTCGTTGCACCCCCTGCCGGGGCCCCGCCGTTCCCCTCACTATCGAATACGACCGCGCTATTTACTCATTATCGCCGTAGCGTTTCCACGTATAATTATACGGTCAAGTAAGTTTACTACGCGTTAATATAATCCCATAGACAATAGACATCTGAGGCCGATTTCACTTTGTTCGGGCATGGAATTTGACGCTCCCGAGACGCTTACGAGAAAAAAAGCAATATAAAAATTAAAAAAAAAAAAAAATAAAAAAGAGAGACGAACAACCCTCCGTTCCATTAAAATTGAATATTATCTTATCTGATTCAATAGAAGGACGCGAGGGGAGAGCGGCAATTTTCTCGTCGGGAGAGATCACAAGCGCGGAAACTTCAATCAGCTGATTACGTATCCGATGCTCACGGATACCGAGCTCGATGTAATCGAATCGTGCAAATCAGAGGAAGGAATATAGCGAAATATATTTCGCGTATGTAGCTTTTAATGGTAATCTTTAATACTTACAAGACATCTATGGGAGATTGAGGAGACCACTCTTGACGAGGCCGCGCCTTGTTGGGCATCTGCCTTTTTTTATACGTTCACATTTTCGGAGTTTCTGAAACAATGTAGAGGACAAATCGTTAGGGAAAACGCCTATATTTATCTTATTCGCGCGAACAATAATCAATCATATTCTGTAATTAAATATTTTAATATAATGATGATATAATGACGATGAGCTCGTTATATTAAAATATATAAAGAATGAATTAAAGATCAGCACGAGCAATAAAGGTTGCTTTGAATATTTAAATGATTTAATGAACAATAAAAACATAGGATGTTTCAACAGACACAAATGAGTTGAAACATCCCACGTTTTTATTGTTCATAAAATAACGAAAATATTCAAAACAACCTTCATTACTCGCGTTGGCCTTTAATTCATCCTTTATAAATATTTTTAATCGGCGTTATTATTTCACGATGCGCGGGTAATAAATAATAGAATAATTACGCGATAATTTTAAACTTTACAGGATACTTGATAAATAATGCTCACGTCTATAACGACGTTGAGGGACAAACGTTAGAACGGTGTTATGGGAAATCAAACGCTTTTCAAGAGATTCTCTCGCGGCGACCCAGTTGCAGAGCTCGTAACTTGCATAGAGCAAGTAAGTAGGATCACTCGGCGGGGAATAGCAAGTTTTCTCATTCGAAACTCTTCGTTCGTAGATAGTATTGTTAAAAGCTCCGTGCGTATGGATGCATTTCAAATGTATCCTATTTCCTTCGAATCGCTCATCTCTCAAGCTCTCGTCTTCGACGAAACGCGAGGCACACATATTTATATGTTGTTACGCTCGTCGATATTTAGGGTAGATAGCTTTAAGAGACTATAAACGTTTCCTCGAGAAACGATATCGATTTATGCCTCTATATGTCCTCTGTATCCATTATATTTACGTCTCTCTCTCTCTCTCTATCCTTTTCATAAATAAGCAGAAATTTCATTTCTACGAAACGATTATTCTTATCTAGGTATACTGTATGTATACAGACTTTTGTTCACCGGTGCATTCTTCGGAAAACCAGATGCGACGATGCACAACGGTGTATAAACACGCATATCCATTCATCTACGACGTTACGACACGTGTACCATTACGCTCGTTGATATATCGCGACGTTCTATCTGAGAACGTGGGACGACGATCTATGCATTACCACATTATATCTGTCCCCGTTGCGCGATGCATCGTATGTATATGTATATATATATAATATAATAACGTATCAAATAAAATAAAAAAACTGCCAAGGAGGCTCTCCTGAATATAATCATAGAGAAAGTGACGTAATTGAGAACCAGGGTAAGTAGGGCCTGATAAGAATTTTATTATTAATCAAAAGATGTCAATCGTCACGAATATAATAGCGTACGTATTTCTAAAATAATACCGACGTGTAAGAAATAAGAGGAATAAAATGAGAATGCAAAAAGTTGCGGTCGATTTTCGATATCGCTGGCCTTGAATACTGTCATCGCAAGAATGCACATCGATCGAAGTGCGCTTCGACATGGGAGTTGCTCGGGGGCTGTCGATTCGTTTCCACGTTTGTTCTAAATGCGCCTGCCTATTTTCATCTACGCCAGTCTGGCGACCGTCTGACCGTTGCACGAAATAACAAGGACAGGTCGCGTCGCGACGAGTCACGCTGAAAGATGAATCGATATATCGAATGCGCACATAACTCACGACATTCTTTCGCTTGCGTAACCGGCGATGGAATTAGCGACGGAAGTGAAATTGCATTATATTTATAGAGAGAGAGAGAGAGAGAGAGAGAGAAGGCTCACCGCGCTACCCTGACATTCCGCTGTCTACTCTTCTTGGGTCTAGACGGAAAATTGCTATTTTTTTTCTTTTTTTTTTTTTCATAAGCAAGTACTGTCGGATAAGATAATCTTATGCATGGAAATGACGAATTAGGGTAAAGAGGATATTAAAAGTTGAAAATGCAAACGTCGCGTTTCTCTTTAAGAGGATGGAAAATAGGACTGAAAGATGATAATTCTTGCAGCCACATAAGGCCAAGCTTTATCCTCGACTTTGTCTTAGAATTGACTTTAAATTAATTGAATAATATCAAACTAATAGAAAACGTGATATAACTATGTGTTGCGTTAAATATCGATCGGTGAGCAATTTTCTTTCCGGTTTTGCTTTCGCATCGCATTGAATAGGAAGACACGAAAGGCTGTTTTATTCTTAAGAATGCTATAATCTTAACCAATTACGATTTTCTCCTAACTAACTTTGATGAGGCTTGGAGAAAAAATGCAAATTCCATCAAATTGCATGATTCCCGGACGACGCCTATAAGAATCGTTCGAGGGTTACCGCTACTTTAACGATCGCTTTGGAAAGTTGCCGGTCGATGTGTCTGAAGCACGCGAAAACGCTAAAAGTTCGCCCGCCGTGCCCGAATAGCGAATAGCAACGATAGCGAGACTGCAATCGATACTTTCCTAGAAACTTCCAAGTACATCGTGAATTTGACATATCGGTTAAAAGCATCGAGAGGAAATATTTTTCCATCGACCGTACACGAAGGTATATAAATATGAAAAATAATCCTCTATCTTGAATCTAATACACCTGTTAGAAAATTTGGCTTAAATTTAATATATATCACATATCCCAAACGGTCCACACAAATTTTTGTGTTAATTTAACATAATACGGATATGTTAAATGGTGACACTAATATTATGTTAATATTTCAATACAAAAATGAATGCAAACTTTGTAGTAATTTGAAATAAATTTTATCCAAAATCGATTTTTAATGATAAAATAATTTGTAGAATAAAATCAACATTTTTTTCTATAAATTTTAACAGATAAATCCTATCATTAATAATACGGAACATATCTATTGTGTAAAATTAAAAATATGTGCACTTTGTTATTTTCACACTTTTTTCAGTTATTTAAATAATTTAACATTTATTACATGAATGTGTTAAATATTTAAAAAATTTAACCGACATATTTTTTAACAAGAAAACACAAGTTTTCCAACAGAGTGTATAAATTCTTTAGAGTCGCGCGACGAATATTTCCGAAATTCAAGTCGAGGAACATCTGCGATGAGGCACATTTGTGGTCCTAAAACGGGCAGAGGATCGGCAAAGGATTAGCGATTACTTTGGATTGTTCTCTGAAATTGAACGTCGCCAGAGATAAGACAGGTCGGAATAAGTTTGACGGAGTTAAGCCGCTTGCTTAAATAATGGCACGCGGCACTCGAAGATTCGTGCCCGAACTTATTCTCTCCCTTATCGAAGGGTCGAATAATTCGCTGGACCGATGAAAAGTTGGTATCGCCGAGATAAGGCGCACATTTGTCAGCGAAGGGCCGCGCATTCCTATTACAGATAAACGTTATCTCCTGAAAAGCTCCTCGTAAACGCAAGTACGAAATTAAGCGCAAAACTGCGTTTCCCAAGGCAAATAAAAGAGAAAGATGAGAGGTCTTTTACAAAGGATTCGATTACCTTAACCGATTTTCGTTTGGAAGCTAACGAGAAACTTTTTAAGTTCAGCACGATTTCTAGAATCAGCAATACTACTCTCTTACAGTTCTCTCTCTCTCTCTCTCTCTCTCTCTCTCTGCTCCCCCCCCCATCCTCTGCTTCTTTTATCAAGGACACTTGACATAGTTTCCGATTTCATCGAGTGTTCTTCATCGACACATTTCTGCCGTATAGCTCTAGGGACGGAGAGGTCAAATGTTCATTATAGTTTCGACATATAAAGTGAACCTTGAACTTGTTCGATTCTTTCCCAACGTTGAAATTCTATAGATGTCACACGTTTTCTCCCCTCTCATTTATTCGGCCAAACTTCGCTAAAGTATGGCCGAATCGACAAATATAAACACGCAAACGTAAAGTAAAAATTTTTATACATTTTGTGCGCGGCTTATCTGGCAGTGGTAAAAATTCTTAATTTACATATTCGCGGTTTTTTTTTTGTTCTTGCTTCATTAAATTTTTTAATAGTCGATAAAGTTTTCCGCTAGAAAAATTAAAATTAAAGAATTCTCGTTTTTTATTCGCGACGACGCGAAGGTCTGAAATAAAATGCGCGAAGAAAAGAAATTGGTTATGCATACTATAATAATCCAACTACGCTTGTGTTTATAGGTAACCCTCATAGAAAACGCGTTAATTGCCACCGTTTAATAGCAACCAATAAAATGAAGATATATATGAACGAGAATCGCACTCGAGAATTCTTCACTGAAATATGTAAGCAGAGAGACGTCTTTCGTAATCGATCTCATCGAAGAGATGAGATTATTCCAATCTCCTATTCTAAATCGCCTGAGGATTGGCTTTACCTTTTCGTCGAGCGTAGGAGGTCAGGTCAGGGAATTGAGTGTCGGCCGCAGACCTCTTCGTGACGTATTCATTAATCGCGTTGCGTAGGAGAATCGTGTCGTACACGTGAGTGGAGTATCGTAGGCGTATACGAACGATCGCGGATGGGGAGGGAGAGGGAGGAGGATGGAAGAGGGTAGTAAGCGTAAGCGTAGTAACAGTAGTAGAGAGGGGCCCAGTAGTAGCGGGGAGGGGGCGCGGGGATATCTACTCTGTGTTCTGTCCTGGCTTATTGCCGTCAGACTGATAGAAAGAGAGAGACGGAGAAATAGAAAGGAAAAAGAGAGAGAGAGAGAGAGGGATAGAAGGTGAGATAGAACGCGTGCGCACTCGCCACCGAGTACGGCCACTGAGTCAAGGTCTCTCTGACTGGCGATCGACCTGACCTCGCTTTTATCCTTAAAACGAGTGACGGACGACGAGACATCGATCGGAGACACGCAAGTGCGTGGTAATCGTGTCCGACAAGCTGCTTGACATTTTTACAAATAGCTTACACAACTTGTATCGCGATAGTATCTTGTTTTCCCTCGGACTAAGTCCTCATCAATTTTCGATATCACGAAATACTCGACTACTTGTACGTAGTAGTTTACGTACCTTTGAGAAGGGCCCGCAAGCGGGAATAAACAAATTATATGTCCGCGTCTGTGCCGTGA